ATCGAAAATACAAAAATAAAATGATGTGAGCTCACCCGGCACCTTCTGGAAGGGGGCAAGTAATAGCGAGAATATTCTGGTTGCCATCTAGCATATCGAGGCAGACATGTCCGTCACGGGTGACCCGTTCGACCTGGAATGGTCCGATGTTTCCGGAAGAAAATCGCTATGATCGCAAGCTGGACGAAAGAAGTTTGCTCTACCTTATTCTCTCCACATCGACAAGTACCCACGCCGGCTGAGGTGTCACAGAAAGCATCTGGCCAAACGGCGGAACACTGCTCGTTGTAGACACATCCAGGTTGTCCAGGATCGATCTCTAAAAGCCCTCATGTTCTGATTTCTCGATTGAAAACCAATGGAAAAGAACTTACTTTGGTAGCAGTACGACTCGGCGGCAATGTATGACGTCAAACACGAGCAGAGACCAGCGTTACAAAACATGCCCTAAAGAAGGTTACTGTCACTGGTGGAGAAGCAGGGGCTTTACAGCCGTCGAGACTCAAAACTTATCACTCACAGTAAGGCAATCTGTATTGAATGCGCACGCATCTCCTACTCGTCCGCTGCCGGTCTGACGTTCCGGTCGATGGTGCTGCTCGGACGAGCAGTCTGAAAAAGCAGCTATCGCCTTCGCGCAATAAAATTTTTGATTTTTGCTAATTTTCTTCTCTGGAATCTCCACTTTGTGAATGTTTTCAAGGATTTCGGACTTGACATAGCTTCTCATTTGGATGCAAGGCAACAAATTTTGACGGCAAAAGTAGAAGTAGAACTTAAGCAAGGGAGCAATAGTCATGGCAAGGAGCACTTTGTCCACAACGAATTTAGGTGATATGTCAAAGCGCTAAACAGCAAGAGAACATGTACTCACATTAGAGAAGTATAGGTTAGGCAGCTCTCCACATCGTTATACCACGACTCAGGGCAGGGTATGTCGTTAACAAAATCAGCAGTCAATTCTGAAGAGTGCTAGTTTTTTCTTCATTAACCTTTTTCGTTTTTAAAGGACTGGTCATATAGACTTGGTCCTTATTGATTCGACCCCTTCTTACAATCTGGGTTATGAGGAGCAGTCCTAATCTCTATCGAATCAATACTTTAGTCCAGCTAGTGAAAGAACTTGGTCTTTTGTTGAGAGCGTCTTTGACCGGCGAGCAAAGTACAAATACTTCGACCAATTTAGGCTTCTGAACGAAGTCGAAGAAGCGATACGTGAACCTGATAAAAGAAGCTTCAATCTTGAAAAGTTCTCATTGAATTTTTGTAACGAAAAAAAGAAAGGCGGAAACTACGTTCATGAAAATAATCGAGTTCACGTATCGGAATCTTCTTGGAGCACGTAGTTTTTATAGCACTTATACATCGTTCGTTCAGAAGGTTACTGTCGTTTTTGATGTTTCAGTTATGATTGTCTTATTTTTAAATCAGTTTTGAAGAGTCACTGCATGAGCAACTCATCTCATTTGAAAGCGCGTTTCTGGCGCTATCTAACGGTTTTATGAGTTCTGATCCATAGTGACTGTTTCAAATTTTTTAGAACCCTTGAATGCAGTACACATAAGAGGCGATTTTGCAGAATTTTCTTGTTTCCACCAAAATCTAGTCGGAAAAGCGAGAACAGAAGCAAGTCACGGTATCAACTAGGTCTTATATCCTCAGTAGTTACTATGTTGAGCAATACCCTAATTTCCGGTAGATAAGCCCGCGCCGATATCACGTAAAAACACCTCCGCTGGTGCAGTGCACTTGCGTACATCTAGAGACAACCGTAACTTGCCCATAGGGGTAATTCGATATGCTGATTACGAAAACGACATTCATTTTAGCGGTGGCGCCATCTGGCGCCAGTTGGCGTCACCTTGTCACGACCCTTGTTTTCACCAAAATCGGTGTAAACTTCTGTATAGGGGTTATTTGGTGCCCTGATTACGAATATGACATTCGTTTTTGGCATTAACGTTGTTCAACGCATATTTCTCGGTTGGAGAGCGCAGACGAGCAGAAAATAGGCGCCAAATAGAATGAATGTCATATTCGTAATCAGGACACCAAATAACCCCTATACGGAAGTTTACACCAAATTTGGTGAAAACAAGGGTCGTGACAAGGTGACGCCAACTGGCGCCAGATGGCGCCACCGCTAAAAATGAAAGTCATTTTCGTAATCAGGGCATCGAATTACCTCTATAGGCAAATTTACGGTAGTTTCTAAGGTGTACAAAATTACACTGCACGAGCGGAGGTGTTTTTACGTGAAATCGGCGCGGGCTTATCTACCGGAAATTAGGATAGATGACTTTATAGCGATAGTAAGGTCGAAGAAGAAAAGGGTAGTGGTCGATGGCGCAAATTGAAAAAGGTTGCGTAAGGGTTTGGTCAAACCAACTCGCATGAAAGCTGAATGGGATGCTTCTGAGATAGACGTAAAAGTAAAGTGGTTCTCAAATGTACAAGCGGGTGGAAAACGCGGAGAATCCTACATGTGGGTGCTGTTAACTCTTCTCTGCCACAGTGGCGCAATCCCGTCTCGTAAATCCAGCGCTGCAATTTGAACTAAATTCTTTGTCACGAACAACTCTCATAACGCTCTTTCCTTTGACTGTCATTTTTCCAGCCATTCGGGTAGCTCCCTTAAAGCGGAATGCTTGAAGACCCAACACGATATTAAAACGACCTTCTCATTCAGAACTCCAACGTTTTGAGGACCCAGACTGACCAACCCGTTTTTATTGGCAACTGTTTCTTGGATTGTAAGGTATTCCATTTCAATTAGTGAAGTTTACTTTGAGCCGGGATACATGCATTTGAAATTCATAGGTCAAAAACTGCGAACTTTGTGGTTGACCTAATATTATTAAATTATCAGATATTTTCGAGCAGTTTTTCATTTTATCACTGCAAAAATACCGAGCGATATAAATGGGAAGCGATTTTGCAGATTGCTTTGTTCTCAACTAGTTTTTTATCAGTGCAAAACCAGTAAACAATATCGCTAAGAAGCGATTTTATTATCAGTTGGCATTGCCCTTACTCTACTAAGTGATGATAATATTTTAATACTTTCGCCTATCAATACTTTACACCAAATTGTCAAACATACCTTCGGAGTCTACAAAAACGAACGTTCCGACATGCTTTTTTGCAAATATAATCGGGCTCAATTGGTCAAAAAATATCATAGTCATGAAAAGAGAAGTTCCTACTGTTTGATGATCGCTCAAAATGGCTCTATTCTTCCGAAAACAACAACTTTAGCCTCGTTGACGAGATTCTTCGTGAACGCCCAGAAGACTTTTATCGAGAAACTTGCCTGCACTTTGACTCTAGCTAGAGGCTCAACGACTTAGAATTATCTCAATGGCGCAGCCATGAAGT